AGAATAATCGAAAATAAAATTAAAAACTAGTCAGCTCCTGTTCACATTGCAACTAAATATTTAAATTAATTAAAAGAAGAAAATCTTATATTGGAATAAATGTAAAATAATGTCCTTTATTTTAATAATAGGTATTAATAACGACTTTAAGAATTCCATAAATAAAAATATGTTAATTAATGGAAAAAAGCATATTTTCCTAAAACAAATACATGAGTTATACATATATATATATATAATAAAGTTAGTTATTTTTATTTTTATAAAAAAAAAAATTATATAAATTAATAAATATTAATAATATAATAAATAAAAATAATATTAATTTTTTATATATAAATAATAATATATATTTTTCATAGTTTTTCAAATTAGTATTATAATCCTTATATAGATTTTTAGTAAATAAAACACAAAAACATCAATAAAAATATAATAAATGCAATAATTTAATAGAAAAAAAGAAATAATAAAATTAAAATAGATAATCGTATCATATTCATAAATCTATTTATAAAAGATAAATTTATTTTGAGTACTTTTAAATAGAATATTTACTATTTTAAAAGTTTTAAGAATTCTATAAAAATTTTAACAGGATTTTTAAAAATATGTATGGGATTATTATTTTTTATGACAAATATAATATTAAATATAAATATTTACTTTGTTTTTTGAATTATTAAATACCATAGTAATAATATTTTTTTATATTAGAAAATTTAAAAATATTAATTAATTTTTATATAAAATTAAAAATTATATAAATAGTATTATATTTTTTTTTTAGAAAATATCAAATAAATAAATCTTGAAAAAAATAAAATGGTTTTTTTTAAATAAATAATATTATTATTTTTTATTATATATATAAATACTGACATATTATAAATAAAAAAAAAATAGAAAATATATATTAAAATCTAATATTATATTATAAATTTAAATTAGTACAATTTTAATTAAAAAAATGTGAAAAAAAAATGAACATAATATAATTTTATCTAAAAAGAGATAAAAAAACAAATTATATATTTATTTATATAAATAAAAATAAAATAATTGTTTATACAAAAAATACATAATAATTTTTAATTTTGTGTTATTTATTTATTAATAGTTCAAATTATATTTATTTGATAAAAATTAAAAATAAAGATAAAATATGATAATAATTTAATATATTTTTTTAATATTAATTATTTCTTTTCTTTATAATATAACAATTTCGACAAAAATATAAACAATGCATTGCGATGAATATTGGCAAGATTAATGCTCGAATTCAATATAAAATGCGTATACTATTTGTTATAGAAATTAATAGTTAGTAATATTTATATTAAAATAAACTAAATTAAATTTTAATTTATTTTATATATAGAGTGTATTATGCATTAAAAGCTATATATAAAGCGTTTGCTATAAATGTATATGTAACATTATTTAATCATAAGTTTATGGATGTGAATATTATAGTTGAAAATAGTAAATAAGACTAAAATATTATTGAATTGTTAAAATGAAAAAATTTTATTTAAATTAAAAAAATATTTTTATAAAAATAATTATTACTATAATAATAATATTAATTTTTTTATAAATAATTGTACAAATTTATTTTTATTTTAAAATGAATAAACATTTACTTTTTTTTCATCTTTATATGAAATTTATATTCACATGTAATTAAAATTATATAAATATTTATTATATATATGTTAATATTAATATTAATAATTATTAATTAATATATTATTTAATAGTTCTTTTTATAATTTAAATTTCTATTTTTATTTAAAAAAAAGAAAACTTATTTCAATTTTTCTTATTATTTCATTGTTTAAATAATTTAAAATAAAAATGTATAATTTTTAGTAATAAGATATGTTTAATTTAACTTTTTTATAAAATGGACTATAAAACTCTGTGGAAAAAATAAATAGATTGCAGTAAGTAAACTAATAATTTTAAGAAATATAAATACAAAAATCAAAGCTTGATGAAAATATAATAAATAATTAAATTGAAAATGAATAACAGAAAGAAAATCAAATAATTTTTTCATAAATAAATTTAACGAATTCATTTTAAAATAAAATAAATTAACTTTATTCCGAAAACTCTCAACTTGTTTAATAATTTCAAGAAGCAAAACAAAATTTAAATGAATTAATTTAAAAGTAAAAAAAATATAATTAAAAAAAAAAAATAGAAAAAATAAAAAAAAAATTAGAAAAGATGAATAATTTGTAGAAAAAGATAAATTATTAGAAAAAATAAATTTTTTAGAAAAAACAAATGATTCTTTACAAAACTAAAATTTCCTTTTAAAAGAGGAAATATTAATTCTAAAAAACAGTCCAAATATAAATAATTAGTTTCAAAATCAAATCAAATATTAAGAAGATTAATAAAATAAATTAAATTTAGAAATTAAAATCGAAAAACTTCAAAAACTGGAAAAAATTCAAAAATAAAACTCTGAAATAATTCTTAATTTAGAAAAAGAAAGCATTTAATTAAAAAATTAATTAGAATATAAATAAAAATAAATAAACACTTTATTAAATGAAAGTGAAAACTACAAAAATTAATATTTAATTGAGAATTAAAAAAATATTAATCTAGAAAAAATACACATCGAGTTTATTTAACAAAAGAAAAAATATGAAATAAATTCCTAATATAATTATGATCTTGAAAATAAACTTTAAGAAAATTATAAATTAACAAAAGAACAAGAAATTAATATAAAAAAATAAAATAATTTAATAGAATATTTAAGAGAGCAAATATAGGAATAATAACAGTAAATAAATAAATATGAAAAAACAGTTTTCGATTAAAAAAAAGACTGGAATTTTTAATAAGAACAAACATAAAATTATTTAAATGAAAAAAATAAAATTTTAAAAGAAAACGAAGCTAAAATTTAGGAATTAACTTAAAATATGAATTCTTGTAAATAATAAATATAAAAAAAAATGGAACAAAATTAAAAAGAAAATGAAATTTTCGAAAAAAATATTTAACAAAAAAACTAAGAAATCCAAAAATTGGAAAATTAATAAGAAAAAATAATTAAAGAAAAAAATAAGTAAGAAGCCGATTTTTTAATCTAAATTTAAAATCTAAAAAACGAAAAAGAAATTTAAAATTAAAAAAATTTAGAAAATTTATAATAAAAAGACCAATAAATTTTAAATTTACAAAAAGAAATTAATTCTTTAAAAATAATTATTGAAAAAAATAAAATAAAAACCAATAAATTAAACAATAAATACAACAAAATACACAAAAATAAGCTTAATATGAAAAAATACAAGCTCTTTTTGACGAATATAAATAAGAAAAATAAAAACAAATTGAAGACATGAAAAAAATAAACGAAACATAAATTTAATTATTCGAAAAACACTAAAACATTAATAGTTCAGAATTAAAAAAACTCGAAAATGAAAAAAATGTTTTAAATAATGAAAATTAATAACTTATTTAGGAAAACAATTAATATGTTTAAGATATATAAAATTTAGAAAAAAATAACTAAAACTTAGAAGAAGAACTAAATGAAAAAAATTAGCAAAATTAAATTTTTAATAAACATATAAATGAACTTAATAAATAAATTTAGCAATTTTATGAAAAAAATTAAGAAGTTGATTAAAAAATATAAGAATATGAATAAAAATTGGAAAAAAAGAAGATTAAAATTATTGATTTGAAAAAATAGAACCTTATTATATATTAAAATAATAAAGATTTTGAGGATAAAGAACTTCTATTGGAATAATTATAAGAATAAAATGAAAAAATGTAATAAGAAATTCAAAAAAAAGAGTAAAAATATGAAATTCTTGTCTTAAATTCTGAAAAAATATAAAAATAAAATTAAATTTATGAATAGAATTTACAAAATTTATAAAATTAATATTTATAATTAGAATAATAATGGCAGTAATAATTCGATGACTTTAAATAAGCTTAAAGTTCAATCGAAAATTAAAATTAAAAAGATAAATAATAAAAATAAATAATTATGTAACTTTAACAATAAATAAATAATTAATTCCAAAAATAATTTGAAAATGAAAATATAAACATATAATATGAAAATTTAAAAATTTAAAATATTAAATTCAATTAATAATTTAAAGATTAAAATGAAGAAATAGAAAACCTAAAAAATATTATTAAAAATTAAAAAAAACAATTTAAAATTTATAAGATTCTATTGAATCATATATGAAACAAACTAAAGATTTTTAAAATTAAATTGATAAAAAAGATGAAGAAGATAATTATAGATATATACGCAACATAAATGAGGATAATATTAATTTATTATAAATAAAAATTATGTAATTTAAATAAAATGAATAGATTTTAAAAGATGAAATTTAATAATTAAAATAAGAAATAATTAATTAATAAATTGAAAATAAATAAATTCCTTCAGAAATATATTATTAAAATAAAAATAAAAATTATTAAAATCAAAAATTAAAGGAAAAATAAAATTTATAATAATAAACTATCAAAAAATTTTAGTAAATTACTTAATAATTGCCAGAAAATGATTCAAAATACTGATTATTACATAGATTTATATATTTTATAATTTACTTTCTTTTTTTAATTTTTAAAAAATTAATAATTTAAAATTAAAAAAATAAAATATCTTTCATAAAAGGAGATATTTAATTTTTTTTTTTTTTAAAAAAAATATATATTAAATTTTACTTTAAAAATTAATATTTTAAAAATAAAATTAATTTAAAAAAAAAAAAATTTAAAAAATGAATAAATCTTTTGAAACTTAATAAAAAGAAATATAAAATACATTTTAACTTTCTGAATAATATTACAAGTCAGATAAATAAGAATATTTTTAACCTATAGTTGAATAATATTTAAATTAAATAAATAATTTAACTATTGGTAAACTAAAATAAAAAAACATTAAATAATAAATATTAATTAAATCAATTAAAAAGAAAATTAATAAGATAGAAATTATTTAATTGCCTTAGCATTAAGTATTTTGCCATAATAAGATGAAAAAGTAGAAAAACTAATGAAAGAAAACGTAAATACCAACAAAAATATTTTATAAAAAAATAAAATAAAAAAAGATAAAATTTGATCCCAAATCAGTTGAAAGTTATGTGCTTTTAGGTAAAATAAATAAAATAAATAAATAAATAAAATAAATAAGGCCTTAATTATTGGAAAAAAAGAGATTATAAATAATCAAAAGAATGTTTTGAAAATGCCCTTACAAACGTAAAAAAAAAAAAAAAACAATTAAAAAAAAAAAAAAAAGAGTAACAGAAAACACATAAAAGCACTTTAATATTTATCTTTTGTAATGAGATGTATAGGAGAAGGTAAATATAATATATTACATATATATTAGTTTTTAGCATGATTTTTTCTGTAATTTATTTTTAAAAACTCAACCAAAGAAAAAATAAGTCATAATCCATTTTTTTTTTGTAAATTCAGTTTATAAAAAACAAAAAAAATACAGAAAAAATAATAATGTTAAAAAGTAAATATATATTTATATAAAAAAAAAATGTAGGTCAAGAAAGATCCCAAAATGTTGAAAACAGTATAAAAATAGCTAAAGAAGCTTTAATGTTAGATATGAAAAATGGAGAAAGCTGGTATATTCTCGGAAATGCCACATTCAGTAATTTTTTCGCAAATTAAAAGCAAATCGACGAAATAAAAAACGCATTAAAATGTTATAATTAAGCAGAATAATACTAAAGTCAAGAATATAAAAACCCCGACTTATACTATAACAGGGGAAATATTTATAAATACATCTAAGACTATAATTTGGCTATTGAATAATACGAAAAAGCTTATGAATTAGATAATACATTAGATAGTTTAAATTAAATTGATAATATAAAAAAGAACTTCAATTAGATTTAAAATATAGTTTAGAACAAAGGAGGAATGAAATTAAAAAATTTATTTGAATTTATTAAAACACTACCTGCCTCTTTTAATCCAAAAAATAAAGATTTATATAAATAATACACAATATTACCATTAAATTTCTAAAAAGAAGGATTTAATAAAAATATGATTCTAACAGCCAAAATTACTCACGTAATTACTCAAAACGAAGAAGTTCCAGCTTAATTTGTGGCTGTTGATTTAAAAGGAGAATTTTTCTGTTTTTCAGTGTATAATACTTCCAAATAAATATATGATTAAGTCAAAAGACATTCTGAAATTTTCTGTATTGATCCCATTGTCAAAAGTATGAGTCTAAATAAGGGAGATAAGGAAAATTAAGGTTATAAGAACGTTTAGGTTTTCGATATTAAAAAATTCATGGTTGATTATAATAAAATTACAGATACTTATAGTCCTTGTGTGCTTAATAATTAAACTATATGAGAAAAAAAAACTTATTTTATTATTATTATGTTTTTTAATAATATTATTTTATTTGAAATTATATTTTTTTATAGATTTAAATTTTTAAAAATAATTAATATTTTTTATGTATTTAATTATTATTTTTTTATAGATTTATTATAATATAATTTAAAATATATTTTATAAGAATTATTATAAAATAAATATTTATTTTTATTTCATTTATTATTATTAATGAATATTTATTTTAAAAAAGTATAAATAAAATCTCATTATTCTTATATGTTTATTTTAGAAAGAATATCTAAATCTCCAAAAATTTATAATTATTATTTCGAAAATATCTTTAGATTGGTATTTTATTTATTTATTTTTACAATAACCTAATAAAAAATAAATATTATATATATATATAAATATATATATATATATATATATATATTAAACTTAATTATTTATTAAGGTAAAGTAACGAACAAAAAGGAAATTTAAACTATATTTATTCTTACTATTCAATTTATTTTTCTTAATTAAGATGAAAATAATTCTATTTGTTTTAAGTTACTTAATAAATAGATGGATGTTTTAATAATTTATCATTTTCTTAACTTTTAAAAGTTTAAGATTTAATATATAATTGTTATGTAAATATAAATATATATGTATATATATATATATAAAATATAAATATATATATATATAATATTTATATATATAATATTACATTTTTTAGTTTTCTTAATTTTTATTTCTATTTATTAATTTTTTTAAAAAAAGTAATTTTTATGCTTAATTATTTATTTTTTCTTATTTTTAATTTAAAACTTACTTCTTTTTTTATAAAAGAATAAAAAGGTTATTTCCTATTTGTAGATTTTCAATATATTTTGTTTAATCTATAAAATAATAAGCAAAAAATAAATAAAAAAAGTATTATATTTTACCATTCAAATTATTATTTTCTAAAGAAAAAACTTTTTTACCTTTCTTAACAATAACATCAGAAGCAATTAATACATTAAGCGCATCATAAACTCTTCTTTTTATATTTTATTCATCTCTAATCTAATAATATATATATATATATATATATATATATATATATATATATTTATATTTTTAATACATTTTATAATCCTTAATTTTATTATTATGAAGATTTTAAGTTTTAAAGTAGTGTTTCAGCAACTTCTTTATAAGTTGTAAC